GAAATAAGTTTCTATTTATTAACATATTGTTGATGCTGCTTTCACCACCAATGGCAAAACTGAGAAGTCATGACAAAGATCTTCTGATCTGCAAAACCCAAAGTATTTACTAACTGGTCCTTGAGAAGAAAATTTTGTCAGACTTAACTCACAACATACAAAATTTAACTCTATCAAACTTCTGAAAGAATATGATAAAATTTTCATGACTGAGTTTAGCCAAAGATTTATACTGTATTCATCATCAAACATAAAATAAATTAAAAAAATAAATTTCATCGTAATTATAAACATTTGTACTTCAAAGACACTATTATGAAAATATAATTAGGAGAGAATATTTACAAATCAGAATTGCATACAGGTTTGTGTCTGGCCCAAAGAAGTCTTATAATTCAATAATAAAACATAACCTAATTGAAAACGGCCACATAGGTAACAAATGAGCACAAGAAAAAATATTCAACATCAATATTTATCAGGAAAATGCAAATTCAGAAAAACAATAAGATACCTTTTCACAACCACTAGCATTGCTATAATCTAAAAAGACTTGGGGGCCGGGGAGATGGCTCAGTGGAATAAGCGCTTCCGTGGCAAGCACAGGGGCCTGAGTTCAATCCCCGGTTCCGTCAAATTAAAAAAAAAAAAAAAACAATAAAAAGACCAACAGTAACAAGTGTTGGTAAGGATATGAACTCGAACATCTATGTCATTTGTAAAAATATAAAATGGTACTACCACAGTAGAAAACAATTTGACCGTTTCTTTAAAAGGTAAACAACTTACCAAATTCATAAGCAGGATGATCCAGTGAACCTTAGGTACCTTAGGTATCTATCCATGCACAATAAAACACACTTCATAAGAAACTTTGTAAACAAACAACCACAGCAGCACTCTTCATAACAACCAGGAATTGGAAACAATTCAAATGCCCCTAAACTAGAAAGAATAAACAAAATTCAATATGCAACCCACCCATCGGAAATTATTCAGCAATAAAAAGAAACTATTGACACAAGCAACATCAATAAACAAACATTGGCCAGGGAGATGGCTCAGTGGAATAAGCGCTTCCCTAGCAAGCACAAGGGTCTGAGTTCAATCTCTGGTTCTGCCAAATAAATAAATAAATAAATAAACAAACAAACAAACATCAAAAACTTAATGTTGGTCTGGGAGTGTTGTTCAAGGGAAGAGTACCCAGCTAAAGAGACCCCAGTTTGATATCCAGCATGTGCACATGCACACACCAACTGAGAGAAGCCAAACATAAAAGATACATGAAAAAAAGTATTCAAAAAAAAAAAAAATACATGAGTCAATTTATACTAATTATCCAGAAAATGCAAATTTATAGTGGCAACAAGGTAAGTTAGTCTTTCTTCTTTTATCTCTTTAATTTTGGTCCATTCCCTATAATAGGCTGGAGTCTTGGGACTGTCTCTTGCATACCTAACTGCATCCCTTTTGGGCTTTCCTACATAGTGGTCCACAACCAGCCTCAGGAACAATGAAGAAAGTGGAGTCAATCTATCCCAGAGGGTATAATGAGCCTGGGAACTTGGCTGAGGAAATAAGTTCCTGAACTGAGTGGAGCAGTGGGTAGACAAATGATTGGAAAGGGGAAGAGGCTGATGAACTCTGGAGTCTGGAGCTACACAAGTAACCAAACTGAGTTGACCTACCAAGGTGACTTCTCCACCAGGTAAAGAAGTAAAGCAGATACACACGGGGCATTTCTGCCATACGTGTGCCTTCTCTCACTGGAAGATGAGGTATAATTTACTGATTGAAACAATCTCCCAAGCATTTTAAATATGCTTGCTTTGAAAACTGGAGTTGAATATAATTGCAGCATTTTGCATTAATTAAATTTCTTTTACATCCACAAAATTAGGGCTTGAACTTGCTATGCAAATTTGTGCAAGTAACTATGCAAATCAGCATGGCTCTGGTAGTCAATTTTAAGGAGACTAGAGCACTTTCTAGGACCAGGTCCCAGGGATTACACACAAGTGGTCTCTAAGAATATTTAAATCTCTCTGAAGGGGAAGGGACAGATATTCTTTGGCATCTACCTCCTATAAGTTAACTTATTTGTTCACTTTAGAAGTCTTTTTAACTTATTTTTTACTTGCCTACATAAGGAAAGACAAGGTAAAGGCCTCAGCCCACAAGTGACTTTGCTAACAACAACAACAAAAAAAAGGCCATACACCAAAATACTTTATTATCATTGCGTCCCTTTTTCTATTTTCCTCTTTCAAGCCAGGCACACAAGTAGAAGGAAGGCCAAGGCTTTCATAATACCGGGCCAAGCATCTCACTGTGTGCCTCTGGCCAACCTATTAATTCCCTCAGATTACTGTGCCGAACTGGAAAAGGAAGCAGTCAGATGATCTGCAAGGTTCTTTCT